TGGAACTCTTTAGTTAGTGTTCCGCGGATCGGACTGTCTCCACCGCTACCCGTCCAGTCACGCTCTGCTTCTCATGTCCCTCGGCTGTGACGCAACTACCTACGATGGTAATACTTGGTGCCTCTTCGAATACATCTATTTTTTATGTTGCAGACCAAGGCGAAGATGAGTTGGACACGGAGCACTATGACCAACTAGATTTTAGTGACGATGTCGATTTTGCCCCTCCAGTGCCGAAGGTACGTTTGCCTCACATTCCAATCTTGTCAGGTTAAATCGGCTGTCAATGACAGTAAAGATAAACGTGTTTCATCAAGGTATCATAATCAGTACTCCAGCGGGCACGCATCACTTGACGACGACACTACTGATGAAGGCGAGTTGAAAAGTGAAGAAAGCGACATTGAAATCAGCGACAGTTCAGAAGAAGGCGAAGTTCTCTCAGACTTAGACGAGGTACGAATTATTTTAACGAACGTTTTTGTGTACTACTATCGATTTCACTCGCTGTTGCTTATTACCTTTATTCTCCCCGTTATTATCCTATCGTGGTTAGTTGCTAGTGGTTCATGGTCTAATGTTTCGAAGTATTTTGTTGGTACACAACATTTGTTGTGTTCCTGTTTGCTGTCATCTAGCATTTCACTTACACCACTTTACAAAAACTTGGTCAGACGGGTTCGTGCCATCTTCATGGATGGGGACCTCAGGATTGTCCACACCAATGGTGAGACCATATCAGACATGGTGCAGTCACGCAGTCTAGCGTTCCTGCATTCGGTATCACTGGTTGTTAATTTTCTTTTATTCTGGTTAGTTCACCGCGCTTCCTGGCTTTTATTTTCTTTCTTTTCAATTTTCCTTTATCTCCGCTATCTTATCTTTGTTATTTATTGTTATTCTTGCGATGTGTCGTGGCGACTGGTCAAGTCATGTCAAAATCCAAGGACGAAGCAGGCTTCCATCTCACGAGCGTCCAGCTTCATGTACCGGTACGCGAATCATAGCCCTCGAAACTTCGACTTTTAATCGCCTCTCCATGCGTCTGAATAAAGAAACAAAGCAAGAACAAGAGCAATCCTTGCTTTTTCGCTTGTGTGGCATCCATGCTGTTAAATTTGGGTAAGATTACATTAATTCCAGAAACGATGCGACCAACACAAGCCTGTTTTGAAGCTGCTACAGTTTCGCAACCCACTAAATCTGAATATAACCTATTCCAGCTGCGACCCACACGGTTCGTATAATACTTGGCTTTGATGTCCGATCTAGGTTTCTGTTGCGTGAGCTTCAAACAGTGCCCACACAACTGATCAGAATAGCTAGCTCAAAGAAATCAGTAGGCTTTATGGCACTGTGTGTCAGCTGTACGCCGTAACGGCGCCTCGCTGCCACGCGACCACCACCAGTCGCGCGCGGGCTGAGTATACCGCGAGGACGCCCACCCCTACGCGGATTCGAGCCGGTGACCTTATGATTGCAAAGCAAACGTGCAGACCACTCGGCCACCGGCCGACTTATGGCACTGTGGCCTTTCATGATCTTAGACGTTTCTATCAAATCCTCTCTGTCTACGCCGCTTCAGGGAAAACAACCCCAAACTCTAGGCGATCTTCATACGACTTTCCACGTTGGCCTTCAACCATCCTGGTTGCCAGTTTTTGAATCTTTCATGCAAACATCACCACGGATATAAGGCGACATCGTCTGAACACAGTACTCCAGATGTGGCCTAACCACTGCTTTGTACAATGGCGGGAAAACCGACTTGGTGTTACACTGCCTTCCTGAGGCGAAACAGTTCTTGTCGCGCTTTGTTGGCAGCATATCAACATTATCGCGCCTCGGTAGACTTAAGGGTTTGAAGATCCGTGTGCGCGCAGACATGGATCCAGCAGACCGAGAAAAACTGAAGTCTGCCGTGTTTGAACTAAAGCGGCGCACTGAAGGCAGAGAAATTCATTGGACCGTCGCAAAGAGACTCGACCTTAACGTGATTCAACGGTTTGCGTACCTACTTGACTCATTGAGCTATACTGGGTGGTGCCTCCATGCACCTTGAGAACTACTCCTACCAGGTTGGACAAAGGTTAGAGGTCAGAGAAACAGTCTCTTAGTCCCCCAGGTTGGGGTTTGAAATGAGACGGCGTCCATTTCTGTAAAACTAAATCCTTTCCAACTCCCCGCTGCATTGCGGACAACTTTTTGAGCCAAAGGTTTTGGTTGTGGACCTTAATCGTCCTAGCTTGGTCTTGGTGCCCTGGCAGTATCTTAGCCCACATACAACCATGACATTTTCTTCAAACATAAACTCCATTCTGCATCGGCCGTCGCGCGGATTATCATGAGTCGTCTTGTCTGCTGCATACAGCAAGACGGATAAGCGAAAACATGCTACCACCACTAACTTTCCTTTATAATTCCCAGCTTAATTGATAGCAACTGAACTGCCACTAAAGTAGAAATATCTGCAGCCACCTTCCCACAGCACCCATCGGACGCCTATCAACAACAGTCGCTTATAAGGCCACGCTGTCCCGTTTCCCTGGTGGCGTCCAACGTTCGCACAGGCTGCACTCGCACGCACCTTGGACAAACTGGGTTTTGATGTGTACTGTGTCCAAACTTAGGATCAATGACCTTAATGAGGTTGTTGACTTAACTGCACCCGGCTCGTCCTCGCTGTTGTTTGCACGCATCAGGAGATGCCGATGCAGCACTCACGGGTCAAACTAGTGTATGTATCATTCTGTGCTCCAAGACTGGGCCATTATTTGTTGCTTGGATTCCGGTGGACAGCCAGTTATGTGCAGATCGTTTTACGACCTCAACTAGGGTTGATTCACGAAGTAGTACAGAACACTCTGTTTGTGATTTCCGCTTGTGCTCCCACTGACTGAAGTTCAAATGCTGTCATGAACACCTTCAAGTTCTAGTGGGAGCGGAACAGTAGGAAAATCCCTCGAATGTTCCACCTTCGAAAATGTCGTTGATCCAACAGGGAAACCGGTGCCCTGATGTCTCAAAGGAGAGCCAAATCAACATACACGAATCACGTAGTCAACCAGACAATGCCCGCGTGCCCTGCACTAACAGTCTCTGCTGTGCCGGCCACGTGAAGAATAAAACAAAACAGTAGTGTCAGTAAAGGAAAGGAAACAGAGGAGAAGACAAGCTTATCGAATTTCATAGGCAATATTAAGATGTAAGTTAAAATGAGTTAAAGAATCGTAGACCGTAGTAGACGAGTAAACGTTTAAGACATGAAGGGGAAGACTTTAAACTGCAGACCGAGAGCGTCAAATCGACGCTCGAACTCTTTCGCCGTCGGTGCCATCACGTCTGCAGGCAGTGCGTTCCAATAAGCTATGACCCTACGCGATAACCGATAAGCTGCCCAAACCCCGTCAGACCGGGGTTTGTACAACTTTAATGGGTGGTCATGAATGGTTGGCGCTCGAGTTGGGCGAAACAGTCCAGTCAAATCAGGACCAATCTGACCCATCAGTATACGGTATGTGAGGACCAAGTCCCCCCGAAGCCGCCTGTGATACATGGAAAACATATTTAACTTACGTAGCCTCTACGGGTACGTCAGCTTCTTTAATCCGTGCACCATTTTCCTCCCGGACTGCAGGACTCGTTCAACTGCCAGCTTATCACGAACCAGGTATGGAGGACAAGCATGAACGCAGTATTCCAAGTGCGGCCTTCCAGAAGCCGAAAATAGTCTAACGAACATTTCGCTGGTCATGATCCCGAATGACCTGCGGATCATCCACATGTTGGAACCTTTGCGAGCAGCTCTCGTCCAGTGTTCGCTGGACTTAAAGTCTGATGACAGCAAACCTCCGAGGTCAGATTGGAGTGGAACTCGTGGTACGTCGTTACCGCCAAGCAAATAATGCGTCGGCGGGTCATTCGGACCAACGCGTAACAACAAACGTCTCGCTAAAATAACGGGCAACTGCCACAAAAGGGACCAGTCCCAACGTCTATCCAGAGCCCTATGTAGTGTCAGTGGACCAATCGAATCGTCTATCTTTAACCAAAGTTTCAAGTCATCCGCAAACATTAAGGATGGCACACCCAGTACATCGGGTAGGTCATTCACGTATAAAGTGAAGAGAAGGGGACCAAGGACTGAACCTTGCGGAACGCCACTGAAAACACATTGGCGGATGGACAGGCTTGAATCCACCCGCACACACATTTCCCTTCCGATTAGGAAAGCTGAAATCCATCGTAAGACTTCAGCTTGTACAAAAGGCGCAAATGTGGAACGGTGTCAAAAGCTTTGGAAAAGTCAATGAACAGCACGTCCACTTCCTTCCTGCAATCAACGCTTTCGGCCCGGTGTTCACGAGCCGTTGACAAGTTAGTAAGGCAAGAATAGCCCTTACGAAAGCCGTGCTGAGAAGGATTGAGCAACTCAAACGCTTTCAAGTATCCTTAGATAGCGTCCCTCACGAGATTTTTCAACAACTTGACCAGCACGCTCGTCAAACTGACCGGTCTATAGTTATCAGGGAGATGCTTATCACCTTTCTTAAAAATGAGACAAGCAATAGCCTCCTTCCAGTCCTTGGGTAGAGAGCAGCCTCGTAGAGACTTCACAAAGTTGCGTAATCGGACGGCAAAGTTCATCAGCCAATTCGTACAACAGTTTGGGATGAATAGCATCCCTCACCGGCAGCTTTATTAGGCTTTAATTGCCTCAGAAGCCGGAGCACTTGAGTCTCCGTTATAGAAACCTCTTCCAAGTGTGTGCCCTCAGGAAGTTTTGCTTGGACACTGATATGCGGCGGCTGTGACTCTCGCACATAAAGCCCAGCACACTGTCCTCCGAGCAAACAAGCTTTTCCGTGATCCGTGACAGCAGCAGTGCCGTCAGGGCCAAACAACACTTGGACGCATGAGTTCATGTTGCTTCGCTTTTTGACATACGCGAAGAAGCGTTTCGGGTTTGATAAGGCTATACGAGCAAGCTCCACTTCATGTTGTAGACGAGCACCTCGTAGATGCTGCCTGCAGGCATTTCGAGCCTCACGACATCGCTTGAAGGTGCATGATTAAGGAGCAGATAAGTGAGTACGCCAACATCTGGCACGCCTGTTAAGTTGTTTGCGTACAGCAGAATCAAATCTATCACGAACTGAACGCGCTACTACGCAGTGCTACCAGTTCAGATATAGTACTTGCAGGAGATATGAACGCACAACTAGGGCGTATGGGCACTTCTGAAGCTCAGGTAGGTGTACTTATAGGCTTAACTCCGAACCGACTGACAACGGTGGGCGTCTGCTGCAACTGTGTGGAGCACAGTAGTTTTTTTTAGCAGCACTGCTTTTAGACACAGTGGGCGCCGAAGGGCCACTTGGCGTCCTCCTTTAGCTGGCCATCGATGGACCCAAATTGACCACATTGCCAAAAGTTCCAAGTGGCGTGATTGCCGC